ATCGTCCTTCCCTGAAATCTCTCGGCACAACATGACATAAGGAAGAATTGGAGGCAGGTAGGAAGAGAGAGAGAGAGAGAGGTGCGCACACACTCTGAGGACCTTCTGCTCCTGGAATTTCAGTATGGTTAATTTATGTTTCTAGGGAAGGTTGCATGTTAAAAATAGCATGTTAAAAACATCCACCAGTATTTCTACTCTGATTGTATAACCTATGTTGCTAAATGCAGTCCCAGAACAAACTATGCCTTCCTCCAAGAGATCAGGCAAGAACCTTCAGTTCCTCCTCAAATCTAAGTGTCATTATTCTTACTTACCTTTCGTTACCAGCAGACACTGTAGAAATGAGAGTCAAAATGAGGAATATTATATTACAGGGAAGTGGAATTTCTTCTGCTCATTTTCTTGGAGAAGAGGACTAGTCTTTTTGTGTTTTTGAGCTGGCTGTATAAAACAACAAAACTCTAAAGCACTGTCCCCTGGTGCTACAGTGGAGGAAAGAAATGCCTGCACATCCTTCCCGAATACTTTGTAGTTCAATGACTATATAGTATCTGTCTTGGATAAAGAACTGTTAGGATTTACTGCCACATGGGAAACAAACACTCTAATAACTTCAATCTAAAAAGCAGCTGCATTTAAAAAAAAAAGACTTTATAATTTGGTTCAAATAAATCTGGACCTTTATCCAGATCTGTATATTGCATATGAAGATCCCTGACACGACACTGTGTAAAAAGAAGGCATGGCCCAGTGATGTATATAGAGAATATTCCAAAATTTTAGAGAGATAGAAGACCTTTCAAGGAGCAGCCAAGTTTTTCCACCATATCCAAAGAACCACGGTCTTGGAATCCATAGCTTCAAGAACTGGCATTTAAACCCTAAATACTGTTTTATTCTATCTTTACTTATTTCTCCAAACTCTCTGAGGAATCACAGGCTGTAACAGGAATACTGTTTTTGCATAAAGAATTAGAAACATCAGAACGGTTCTGTGAGGTCTTGGGTTTCTGAACTTTACAAACAACACATATTCTCTCTCTCTCTCTCTCTCTCACACACACACACACACACACACACACACACACACTCACTCACTCACCCCAAAGCCTGGAAACCAGAGTTGCAAACCCGGCACAAACTTTTTTGTTGTTGCCTGAATTAAAATATAGGTGGCGGTGGCAGGGGAAAGCTTGCACTGTAAAAACAGGCCCAATGTTTTCTGCACTTACTGTAAAACACACACACATGCTTACACGCTACCCAAAGCCAAACTACAAGCATACCTAGTTGGGTTTCATTTTATTCTTCCTAGAGACATCTCGCCTTGTAGGCCCAGCATAAAGTTTTAACTTGCATTGCTGCTATGAAAGACCCGTTGGCAATGAATTTCCACTGAAGCAGCTCTGCCTACCAACTGCTCTTAACCCTTGGATCTCTAGATGTGTTTGTTGTTATCCTAACAACATGAGGTGGCGAGGGGCTTCTCGGTCAACCAAATAAATGTTACCTATATCCCGACATCATCTTCAGTCACATTTTCAGCTCCCTGAGTATGAGCACCTATTCCCTTTTCATCTTAAGAGCTCCTCCCTCTTCCTCCAAGGGCATGCTACAGGAAGAGTAAGGAAATCTGTGGCTCTCCTCATACTGGATTCCAGCTTCCATCACCCATAAACATTGAGTTAAGGCTCCTGGGAGCTAGAATCTAACACCGTTCAGAAGGCTTTTAGCTCTCTACCTCTGGTTTAGGAGAATGAGGTAATGGTGCCCCCTCCTCCTTTCCTGGTGCAAGGTCTGCTACATCGTGCCATATGTTTAAAGTTATTGCCTACAAAGAAATCTTTTGTGACCAAGGAGGAGAGCTAAAAGCGTTTGGAGGCATCACTGCTCTTAATGCCACACTATGGGCAGGGTTTTAAGAGGTAGTGAGTGTAAGAAAAAATACTCTGCAACTACACAGTACTTGCAACAACCTGAAAGATAATGGAGAACCAAAGGCTAATGCAAACCTATCTATAGATCTGTGATAATATGGTTGAATTCTACTGCTGGAACAAACCTTCCACTGTAGGATTTATCTGCTTAAACCACTGTTATGTGCTAAATTTTTATGACAGGAAAATCACCAATACAACGTGTAAGAATGGCCAAAATCATCATCATCATCATCATAGAACTGCAGAGCTGGAAGAGACCCTGTTCTGTTGCTTAACAGTATATCATACTACAGTAGGCCCACTGAATCAATGGGGATTTGACAAGTCAACTCCTTCATAAGTGCTATTGGTTCCATTGCTCCTGTTCTAGTTGAAACTTACTTCAGCACAGGAAGTTGCAGTTCGAGTAGACCCATTTGAATCAATGCAACTTATGGAGGAGCTGACTCACTAAATCCCAAGTGGCTCAATGGGCCTATTCTAGTGCAATTTAATACACCATACCACTGGTTCTTAACCTTTGTTACTCAGATGTTTTTGGACTGCAACTCCCAGAAGCCTTCACCATCAGCTCTGCTGGCTGGGGTTTCTGGGAGTTGCAGTTCAAAAACACCTGAGTAACAAAGGTTAAGAACCAGTGCACTATACAACAGGATTTAGGCCAATGATAGATAGTGGCACAATACATATTTTAAACAGAGTTGTACATTTCCTATCTTATCAAATTATTTGCCATTCAATCTCCAGAACTGATATCTAACCATATTTTAGTTTCTATTTAGGCGTTTAATAAGCTCTGCCAGTTGTTTCTACCCTATAGTCATGAAGGACAGAAACCGAGAGAGAGAGCAGGAGGAGGAAGAAGAACTCATCTAGGTTTGGACATTCAATTTTGTCTGCAAACCTAATGGGGAACAAAATCAATACCGCATTTCTGTTTTCATCTGAAATTGAGCTGCTCAATTCAGGTGAAACAAAAAAAAATACAATGTACATACATTAAAGGTTTTCATAATTGTACCTAGCAATTATATTTGTTAGACATCATCTCACTAACACATACAAAATATTTGTTTGTATTCTTCATGGATACGTATCAAAATTGTTATGTACTTCACTCCTACTCCATCACAACATATGCACTACAGGAAATAACAACCACCATAAAAGAAGGCACTGCAAAGTATCACAGACAGAAAATGTCCAAAACTACCAAAACGTAAAATATTAACTTTAACTTCAGTTCAAACTATGTAGCTAGACTTTTTTTTGATGCAAGCCCAGTACAGCAAGCTGATATTCCTAGATAATATACTCAACAGTTTGATTCACACCAACATTGTCTGAGCAAGACAATACTCTACCCTTAGCTTTTGAACTTTCTGCAAATATTCCTCCCTCTCTCCTTTTCAGTCATGAGGTCTAGGAACCTTTAAAAAAAAGATAAGGACTTTACTCTCTTGAGTAATGAGATAACATGCACACAGAAGACTAAACTACAATCATTCAATGGCTGGTGCTTTCTAGGATTTGAATTATATATGTAAAGCAGGAATGGAGAATATTTGGATCCCCAAATAATCTGGGCTTCAACTCCTAGAACCTGGCCAACAATAAGAGCATGTGGGAGCATTAGTTCAGTCTGGTTGCCCACCCAAAGACAGAGATTTTTGAGGATCATGTCAGTATCATGTCACTCATCTCTGGTTCTGGGCATTCATGGATTTCATATACATCAGAGGTGCAGCACTCCAAGGTCAGTCTTTGTGGACAGATGCCACAGCCGGGTTACTGCAAGTTGCCCATCCCAGATGTTTGTGTTCAAAATATTTAAGGAATCATTTTCCCAGCATACCTACTCATACATTGGTACTTCTGTATGCACAGCATTGAGCTGTTTATATAGCTACTTTTGAGTAAATGTTCCTGTGAGTAAGAGCTGTAATTACCCACTTGCTCCTTTTCCCCGCCTCTCAGTCCAGTAGAAATGATGTACTGCTTGACTTTATTTAAAAATTTAAAATGAAAGAATAGAGATTCTTGCTATCTCTGTTCAGCTCAGTCATTATCGGAAGCTTAGCATCCCTCTGACATGCAACTGCCTTTCCTGTTGGTGAATAAAGTGCTCAGAGAAGAAGTGTAGACTGCACTTGCAATCTGAAACCTTCTTTGGGATGCATTATGGGGGAAGAAACCTGCTTGACATTCCCTATGGAAATGTGCATATGACCCAGAAATATGTCACATGACTGCAAAGCTTTGAAAATTTACTTTTTAGGATTAAAACCCCCAGATTCCCTCAGCCAGCATGGCCTGTGTGACCCACAGACAATCCACAACCCACTCCATACAATTACTATTAAAATGTGTGGTTAGATATTTAATACTTTTCAAAATTAGAGAAGGAGGCATTTAGTTCTGTTTGATAGTCTAGGGCTGTCTACATTGACATACAGTTCCATACAGGCAGAATCCTCTGTTACTGCTTGCAGTCTATTAAGAATTCTTATGTATCTACAGAGGAGCTTTTCTGACATGGTTCTTAAAGGACAGTTCATAGGTTAATGTTAAATTCTGGGGGATGACTGTATAGGCTTCTGGTAGTGCCCGCCAAAACAAACTAGCACAGTCCCTTTGTACTCCAGTTCTGTAAAGTAACATATACAGTATAGTGGTGCCCCGCATAGCAACATTAATCCGTTCCGGATTAATTGTCGCTATGCAGAAACATCGCTAAACGGGATGGAAAAAGCTTTGTTAAACTTTGTTTAATGCGTTCCTATGGCTCCCAAACTCACCGTTCAGCGAAGTTCCTCCATAGTGCCGCCATTTTCACGCCCTCGGTAAGCAAGGGCAGGACGCGAGAACACTTGCGGTGGCCATTTTGGGCACCCGGTGGCCATTTTGGAACCGCCGATCAGCTGTTTAAAAAAACATCGCAATGCGAAGATTGGTAAGCGAAACGCTTACTGATCATCGCAATGCGATTTTCGGCCATAGAAAACATCACAATGCGATCATAAAAACAATTGCAAAATCCGCATTGCTATGCAGATTCGTCGTTAAACAGTGCACTCGTTAAGCGAGGCACCACTGTACATTCCTACGGGTAGCTCTGTTCCAAACAATATGAGAAAGTGTGTGCTCCAGTATGTGTGCTCTTCGAAAACATTATATCCAAAGGAGTGGCTACTGTTTTTGAGAGCACTCACCAGAAGTGTAAATTGCACCACTTGTGGATTGTGTGAAATAACTTTGAGTGACCACACAAGCATCCTATGAAGACAAAGACAGGAGCTAAAAATGAAGTGCTGGCTTGCCCTCGCCACTAGAGGGAGATGGCAGCTCTTGAAAAATGATTGGTCTTTAGCTCCTGTCTATCGAGGTGAATGGGACAACCCACTCTAAGGATTTCCTCTAGGAACAAGTGCAGATCTCCATATTCTCTTGAATTCTCTAGAACGTGTTGTAAATATCCAAAATAAGTTGTAAAGACTGTTTGATGGTTAGGAACAGAAGAGAATGTTCTGCAGATAAGAATGCAAGATCAAAGGCTGTTTCATGTCCCACATTCTGTTCACACAGTGGCCAATCTGTTGCCTCCAGGAAGCCTGCCAGTGGGCCATGAGTAACACTCATTCTAGTCTCTGATCTAAATGAGTTTCCATTTAAATGACCAGCTTGTCCAAAAATGTTACCTTTCTCCCACTCATACCTCAAGCAATCCAAGATCATGGTTGATCTGGAAGTACATGATCAGGGCATCTGCATTTGTTTTCTAAGGGAGCACGTTCTTATATAACCACTGCTCTGAATCTTTCACAAGCAGAGTTGTGACGGCACCCAAAATATGGAAGCTGCTACAGATTTTCCTTCTGAGATGTATGCACTGAAAAACAAAAGACTCTGTGCAGACTTATTATGCTAAGCCTCCCCTTATCCCTCTTTTCAGGACAGATTCATGAGCCAAAACTTCATCACCAATACAAAGAAGTGAGAGTTTCTCTCCACAACCCTGCATCAGAATTTGTTCTTGGTATATTCCAATATTCTGGGTAATCTTTACTGAGGCTACTTTGGTTCTGGCTTGGCCCTTCTATAGTAGTACAAAGTTTATCTGCTGAACTGTTTCTGAAAAGATAGCATGGTGGGCTTGGGAAAAGACAAGGAAGTGATGCAAAGCAAGAGGGAGTCGAGGCAGATATGAGATGAGAGACCACAGCAGAAAATAACAATGGGTCTCTGGGTCAAAGATAGCTCGGCACTGCACTGGCATTTGCAGATGGTCAAGAACAAATAAAAAATGCACCTGTGCTCTTTCAACAGAGCTTCCAGAGTTACTCCTCCAGGCACAATAACATACATGTCTCCTCAGCAGTAAGCCCCAGTGAATTCCAGGTGAGTGGGTACAGACTGGCACCCGAGGCTTCTTTTCAGTAACAGGATGTGAATGGGTTTAGCCTTATGCCCCCAGCTTTATCAATCATTCTGTTAAAGAGTCCAGGAAAACATGTGCAAACACAATGTGAAAAAAAGGACTGAGTGTGTCCTTTAACACCTGCATGAGGCTTAGGTCATGATCACCAATCCAACCACTAGTAACACATAAAATGACCTTAAACTTCCATTAAAACTCTCTCTCTCTGTCTCAATCTCTCTCTCTCTCAATTCCCGAGTGCCATGATCCTCTTGCTCTCACATACATAAAAGATTCTTAATTTTTTTGCTTTAAAAAAGGAGGCATCCAAAGATCTGGATGATAAATTACTTGCGTTTCCTAAGAAACTGTTTTCCTTTTTTCCCCTTTTCCTGGTGTGTGTGTGTGTGTGTGTGTGTAAAAGATAAGCTTTTGACAGGAATAAGCAGTCTTTTCTAGAATGTACTTGACTGTCCAAAAAAAAATGGCAGTAAAAAGAAGAAATAAGACAGAACAAGGCAAAGAATAAGGAAAGGAAAGGAAAATAATCAAAAGGAAAGACAAAAACTCAACCCAGACTCTAGCAGCCCTCCCGATTGGCAAGACGCAACGGAAATGGAGGAGGTCTCTTCTGCCAAGGGCTGCGATCCTGGTTACCAACAATGCATTGCTTGTGTGTGCCTCAATCCAAAGGCTGCGAGGAGGAGGAAAGAGGGTTTTTTCTTTTTCTTTTAACACTTGGATTGCTTGTAAACCAGGCAATGTGGACCTCTAAGGCTGACTGTGATTTGAGGAGGGAGGAGTGTGAGAAGAAGAAACCCAAGTTGCTCCCTTCAGAACTGAAGTCAGGTTGCGCTTCTTCTTCACAACCATTTTACAGATCCATCCCAAAAGGGCAGTTCCTTCCTTTTTCTCTACCTCTCTGAGCTCTGTCCTCCACTTGGGCCACTGCCGGAAGAAGTCGGCAGCATGTGGAGAGCTGTAAGATCAGCAGTCCCCCTCCGTTGCCATGACGACCAGCATCTCACTCTTGCCCATCTCTTCCAAGGCACTGGCCAGTGTATTAAGATCTCCATCATCTTGGTGCTGGGCTTCCCATAAGTCCAGGATCACCCCTGTTGGGCTGGCTTTGGTGGCAAAGAAATTCAGATACCTGTACAGGAAACAAAAAAGGAGTGGGGGTGGGGTGGAGAAAGAGGAATGGACAAACTGTTCGTTACAGGCAAACTCTTTCGTTTCCTCTTTAGGAGCGTTCTCCTAAAGGTTTCAAATAGTTTCAGCATTATCTTGGGTTTGCTTTGTTTAGTATTGTAAACCGCCCATAGCCGGGCTTCCGCACTAACAGGGAGTGGTATACAAATTATAGTAATAAATAAAATAAATAAATTCTCCCATCAGATTTCCCTGACTAGGCCGAGGTGTCTGGAAGGGGAGCAATGACAAAACACCCCAGCTCAATCCTAGCCTGTAGAAAAGAGCAACCATGGATGCCTCCTAAACTGTTCTCAGTTCCATGGGATTGACTCTCAGGGAAGTGTGCAAATTGGGAGTATTGCACACCCAGAAGCTTCCAGGCAGACCCAGGAAGGGATTCTGTTGGGGAGCTGCCACCAGGCAGAGTGGCCTACGCCAACTAGGTGGACCTACCTATAGTTATAGAACAGCAACTTAATTCTGTCACTCCTTGTGGCAGATGCAAGGGATTAAACCTTGCCCAAAGCGGCCTGCTGGACACCTTCTTTTCAACTGGAGCTTACAGGAGCTCCAACATGGGAGCCTGTGATAGGAGTTTACAGGCTCCCATGTTGGAAAGTTCTTCAAATCCTTCAGTGAAGTGAAAGAGCTCTTGAAAGGTTACTTATGCCTTTCCAGCATATCCAGTCTAGCAGGACCTGGTCTTACTAACACAACTCAAGAGGGGCACACCTCTGTCTTGCCAAAGGAAGCTTTGTTTGTTGAAACAAAAGGCAGAATCAGCCTGGATTGGGAGGGGAATCTGTTGACCCCTCCATATGTACATACTAGGTGGGGAACGAACTCTGCTGGGTTTTGAAATTATTGCTGAAATTATCCATTCCACCCCTCCTGAGACCCAATGCAGGACAAAGAGCACCTCTCCTTGGAAATCTGCACATGGGTGAAAGTAGCTGTATACGGTTGGCATGCATGCCTCTCAACAATGCAGATGGCTAGAAATGAATGGAGTTGAAAAATATGCACAGGCATGTTTCTGTGCAAAAATATTAGGAAAAGCCTGTAACTAAATACATATATATTGAACAAATGTCTACATAGATAGTGGGGGAAACCCACAAAAGAGTTTCAGGACAGGAATGGAGAAACACAAGACGAGTGGGGCAGAATTTTTTTTTATGTTTGCAGTGCAGGATTCCTTAGGAACCTGAGTCCAAGCGGGTGCATCCTCTCACCCCACCTGGACCTTCCCAAAGGAGAGGCTGGTGGAGCAATAGGTGGGTGCCTACTGGAAGGAAGTGACTCTCTCTCTCTAAACTGGTGTGTTTCACACACATGATGGTTGAGAGCAGAGCAATAAAACAAAACCCACCGATCCATGGAAAGCTTCTGAGCTAGGAGCCGCCAGTCATTTCCTCTGGAATTGGGGGCATCAAGGCTGTTGCAGATTTTCTGCCGTATGGACAGAGGGATCTTAAAGGCGTACGGCCCCAGCTGAGTTGTGAGGGCACTACCAGGGTGGGAATTCAAGGCATCGAAGGAGTTGGAGTTCTAGAAAACAAAAGGCATGGACACACATGGATGAGGTGGCTGCTTTTCAATGACAGGCCTGGGAATCTACCAGCATGTTTTTGCACTCATTCGAGGACACTCCGTCTGATATGTGTTCCAAGATAGTTATTTCAACCAGATTGCACAGCTTGCTTTCACACTTAGAGGACTAAGAGAAACAACCCAGTTTTCTAGTGGCAGTCTGTTTCCCCTCTGCATTTGCTCTTGGGCTGTCACATACAATCCTTAAAAAGACTTTCTAGTTTAGTCCTCTTTGCAAGGCAAATAGGCATCTGATGTCTGGTAAAAATGTTCATTTGCAGTACAAATCCCTTCTGTGCACCTTTTGTTCCCCTTGACCGATGCTCACCTATCTGATAAATACCATGAGAGGGCTTGAATTTTAAGTTCAGCTTCAATTTTCCAGAAGCAACTGGGATGCAAAGGGTAAATTGTAATGACTTAAAAATAAAATAGTGGCTTTCATAAGGATAACAGGAGAAAACAGCCTTCAGACATCCCTAAGAATAGCTGGGGAAACAGCCTCCAGAATTAGTCTGCAGGATGAAGCATCCAGAGGATGGGTTTGGGTTAATTGATTTGGATTATGCCCAAAGGCACTTTGCCATTTAGAAAATGTAAGTCTATACTCAGAATAATTTACGGAATATATGCAATTTAAGCTGCTTACTTCTCATGCCTTTAATGAAATATAGAGAGCCTGGAGAAGTTGTATTTTCCAACCATAACTCCTTGCTTATTTCTCATGCCTTTCTTTAATGAAATATAGAGAGCCCGGAGAAGTTGTATTTTCCAACCATAACTCCCAGAACCCTCCAGTGACATGGGCTGAACCTACAGAAACCAAAGCAGAGTGCTTGTGGATGGAGGACACGCCAGTGTAGCTTCTCCTCTCCAGTTATGACTGGAGACCTTTCTCCTGTGTGTCAAATGGCAGTGGCCTTGGAGCTCTGCTGCTGGCCCTTGCCTCAGACACCCACCCAGCAGCAGTGGCCTGTCTCCTTAACAAAAATCTCTGTACACTGACAGCCCACAACACATCATGGTGTCAGGAGTTGGGGTGGAAAGCCTGGAGCTTGGGTCTTGTTCTCAGTAATCATGCGATGCCCCACTGATGCACGAAGGGGCCAGGTTTTGTTGCCTTCTACCACTTCTGTGCCCGCCTTTGCTCACCTCTCCAAGCATAATGTGTAGCTGAAATATCTGCCCTTCACCTTCTACCTGCCGAACACAGATCTTGCAGGTGAGTTCTGTGGAAGCCAGGCTGTATCTCTCAAGAGTGAAGGTGCAGTGCAGCGCCCGCTGGCTGCCACTCCAGATGTGATAGAAAGGAATCTCCTGAAAGGGACACCAAAAAGGAAAAAAAAGAGTCAGCACTCTGGGATGACCATCACACTAGAAAATGTGGCTCATTTTAGGAGGTGGCAACAGAACAAGCTTCCATGAAATCCATCCTTCCATGATGAACACAGAATCCAGCCATCTACGTGGGAGCTTGGAAATGTTACTTGTCATAAACTACAAATTTGACAATCCCTAGCCTGGTTAGGGGATTCTGGGACTTGTCACAGAAAAAAATAATCCAAGCTCTGGGCTGCTATGGCTTAGCAGGTGGCCAACAAACCACCTGTATCTGTGGGGTTTTTTGAAAGTCCTAATGGGCCACATTACACAGATGGTAGGTATGCTGGAAGTTACAGCCCTCAGACCTTACTTGTGGGCTTCCCTGGGTACATCGGGTATGGTCCGTTTCGAATTGGTGCAGGAATAGATAAGCCACTGGTGCAATCCAGCAGCACAATTTTCTGGAAATTTACATGAATGCGCATAGTTTTATGCAATGCATCTGGTTGAGATCTAATGTTTTCCATGCGGAGCACTGTGATTTATGTGCAGGCATATAAAAAAGCTTTTACACATATGATTTATCATTTAGCATTATTTATTCCCCAAAATATAAACAGTAACATATTATCATTATAAATAGCAATATACATTGTGAGACTGTTATCTTCACATATTCATTGCACTTTTTCTGTCAAACTGATGGTGTTTTGGAGAGTTAAAAATAGGCACAAAGGCTTTTCAGTATATTCTTGTAGGTACTATCCATTATCAATCTTTATAGAGATGCCAATCATGTGACCCAACACTTACTATGAGACAGAGATGTGGGAGAGAATGAAGCAGTCACTTACTTTTACTAAAATGCTTGAAAGATACCCTACTGGGAAACCAGCAACATAACCTTCCTGAATCCACAAACAGGGCTAGCCCTATCATTAGGCAACACGAGGCAGGGGCCTCAGGCAATAGACTTGGGATGTTATAAAAGAGCAAGAACTTGTTAGTTATTTTGGGCAGAATCCTGTTTGGTTTTTCATACTGTATGAGCAATGGGACACTCTGCACACAGCTGTTCTTTCCCTGACATTTGTACAAGGAGTCCACACAATCCTGTACACAGACAGAAACTCTTGTGCTCTGAATGGTGCAATGTCCGTTTCGTGCAACTACAAGCTGGAAATTGTGCAGAATGCTATGCCTGCAAAGTGTTACACTCTGTGCATCCTTTACAGGATTGTTAGCATGGATTTTAAAACATATATATTTATATTGTCACATTTTTATTAACAAGGTGGCGGGGGGTGGGGGGAGGAACTTCCAGGATTTTCTTTTACATATACCAAAATGTCTCTGCTGGATTTGAGTGCTATTCATACCCATGTGAGTCGGTGGCAAACACTCTTTTCCCATCCTGCCTTAGGCACTGAAGAGCTTTGGGCCAGTCCTTCACTGAAGATAAAATCAAGGACCTATCTTGTGTGAAAGACCCTAAATAATACAAGGTAGAGATGTCCCTGTCTGTCTATACAGTCGTATCCACATATCTGTGGGATCGGTATCCATGGTTTCACTTACCCACAATCTCAAAATATTAAAAATATTAAAAGAAAAATCCAAGAAATACATATTTCCATAGTGTAGCTATCATAAAAAGGCCACTTGAGGGAGCCAGGGGCCATGTTATGTACAATGTCCACTATTACCGCAGGTAATAAAGAGACAAACTGTTGTGCCTCTGTTCTTAGTCCTATAAGCCAACCTCCCTCCAGAGTCTAGACAATCACCTGGTATTTGGCCAGAAGCTTGCTCCTCCAAAGGGAATGAGGGATATCATGCACAGATAGCCGCAAGTTGTGATAACTGTCTTTAAAGAGAAGAGGCTTTGGTTCTTCCAACAGATAGCCTCCAAGGGTCCTTTCTAATTCAAGCACCTCCTGCAAGTCAAGAAGAAGAAAGAACCACCATCAGATGAAAGAACAAATACTAGTCATTTATCTGGAAAGCAAACCCAGTAGAGGGATAGAAACCATTAGAGATGTAACATTGTCTTGTATGTTGGCCTAATATCATCTAAAGAGTTATGCAGATTATATCAGTCTTCCCCAACCTTGTCCCTCCAGCTGTACTGGACTAGACGCATCATCATCCCCAATCACCATGGCTTAAGTTCTCTCTCTTGTTCTCTCTCTCTCTCTGCATTTTCTAGGTAGTTTGTCTGCTTGTTGCCTGAGTGTAAAACACACAGAATACAGCATTTCCCACCATGAAAACTTATACCCCCATATAATATCACATATTTACATATATTGGTATATGCATGTTCCATCCAAATTAATGCCTTATTTTACCTGCACTTTCAGGGGTGAAGTGATGCATTTCCTCTTTTTCAAAGGTAAAAATGGTCCCCCTATCTCACAATGGCATCTTGGAAAACTACTTCCATATCACCCCACTATGGTGCCTGGATAGCTCAGAGGTTTAGGTATCTGGCTGTGGAGCCAAAGTTTGGGAGTTCCATTCCCCACTGTGCTTCCTGAGAGTACAGCCAGCCTGTGTGGCCTTGGGCAAGCTACTTAGTCTTAGGGCACCCCTAGAAGAAAGGAATGGTAAACCACTTCTCTACCTGGAAAGGGTCACCGTAAGTCAGAACTGACTTGACAGCACATGATTTTTTATGATGCCAAAGATGTTAACAAGGTGCGAAGCAGCTGTACAAAGCTTCCGATATATTGTTAAGTCGTATCTTACATTAAAACTAGAAGGCATAATTTTTGGGGTCTTTCTGTAACTGTGACATCAGTTGTGACATCAAGGTTAAACACACATACAATGCATCAAAACCCCGAACACCAGCTTGGTGCTGATTGCCTGAAATAATCACTCTTGTAGGCTAAGGGTAATTGGAGATTTATACTTCATTAAGAATGATGGGTTGCTTTCATTAGCCATGCAAACTAGTGCTAATATTATTGATAGGCTTTGGAAATAACTTGACAATAGATATTTTCAGATCACAAGCAACTGAGAAGTTTCTGGTGGATCTTTAATAACATCTGAAATTTCATTATGAGACAGGCTGATCTTGGAGAAACAATGGGAAAGGCCACAGCAAGCTCACACCACTTGTGATGTGCCCTCAGGGCCTGGCTCAGCTGTATTCATATCCAGACCTGGTTTCTTTGTGTGTGGGAAGAGGGCTATTATCCCAGGGTCCCCAAGAGAGTTGCTGGAGGTGGAGGCCAAAGGTGAGGATAAAACCTGGAATCCTCTTCAGTGCCTAAGGCAGGATGGGAGTCCAGGCCAATCCAGAACCTTCATATTGACCACCAATTACACAGAGCGGTAATTTCACAGCCTGAAGCAGTGGGGGCAGCAGACCCATTCTGGGTATCAGTCTGAGATTTACAGAAGCTATCCCAGGTGCTAATTCTATTTTATTTATTAAAAATATTTTTACCCCTCCTTTCTCCCCAAAAAAAGGACCCAAGATGGTATAGATCATTAAAAAGACATTATTAAAAACGAATATAAGGAAATGATTTAATTTTTAAAGAAGACTGTATAACATTATATTAAAATATTACGTAAAAGCATTAGTCAGAACAGCTGTAAAAGCAACAAAATATAAGCCATCCTGTTTTAAAACCTCTCCTAGACAGTCATTCACTAAGGAAAAGCCTGCCTATATAGAAAGGTCTTCACCTACTTGTAAAGGACAGCTAAGATGGGGTCAGCCTGGTCTCCTGTGGGAGGGAGTTCTGGAGTCTGGGAGCAGCAGCAGAGAAGGCCCTTTCCGGTGTCCCCACCAAACACACCTGTGAGAGTGGTGGGATTGAAAGAAAGGCCTCCCCTGATTTTGGGGAAAACATTCAGCATCCTATATGGCTTCTGTAAATCTCAGACTGAAACCAAGAGGCAATTTACTGCCCCATTAAGTCAGAGTCACCAGCCTTGAATGGAAATCAAGGGTGTATAATCTCAGGGGTCAACGTCTCATCTCTGGACAAAACTGTGGGTTGCCTCAGACCCAGAAACAGCCATTTCATTTAAGCAAATAAACAAGCAAGTAAGAAATTTTCAAAGAGATGTGTCTGGTTTCTGTTTTGGAGGTTTTATTGAGCTGGGACCTTGAGGGATCTTCCCCATGCCCCTCAGCTGAAAACTGCCACTCCTTCAGGTCTTCTGAGATAGAATTAGGGCTTTTCTGCCAAAAAAAATGGAGTAGGGGGAGGAGATGCATAGAAGAAGCTCCAAAGTTGCCACAAAAAAGGCCCCTGGGGGACTGCGTGTGGCCCATGGGGTCCTTGTTGTCCACCCCTGATCTAGTATCTCATCCAGAAAGCCCTGCAGTTACAGAGATGTGCGCTCAGATTTTCTTACAACCCAGTATTCCAAAATGGTCAGTTTCCTGTTCCAGAGTTGCAAAGATACTGTTTTAAAGTCAGAAAATGTTTGCAGAGCAACAGGAGGAAGACGCAAGTGCATATTTGGGCTGGCAATGATGAGTGAGAAGAACAGAAGTAGTCTTTGCCATGGCAACAACTGTGGGAAATAGCCCTTCTGCGGCCATCTTCAGCACAGTGCACAGAACACAGTCATTGCAACACCCTTCCTGTCTCCTCCTGGGAGCTTCATGGAAAATGACATTGCTGGTCTCTGAGGAGTTGGTTCAAGGAACTTATTATTGAAGCTAAACTCTGGGTCAGTTTTCAAGACATTGCATCAGGTTGTTTTACTCCCCAGAGAGATGTCTTCCCAAGTCACATCATATCCTCCTTTGATTGCTAGCCTGACCTCTCTGGGCCAGAAAAGCTGGACATCATCAGGATCAGGGAATCAGAAATGGAGGACTTGAGCAACCAACTTCCAAGCACAAAGTTTTTAACCACCCCCACCCCTTGCCAACACATGGCAATTAAACTGGCAACGTCCGAGTGTAAAACGTAGAAGGAAAGGCTTTCTATCAGCTGAAGATACATACCAAGAGATGCAGATTACAAGAACCAACATACAGAGACAGTGTATTCTTTTTTTTCCTGGTGGCACTGTGTGAATGAGCCACTGCTTTTTCAATACCAAAGAAGTGAACTTTTGCATCTCCCCAAGTGCAATGCTTTTCAATGGGGAGTGTTCATTATAATCATCTGGAAGCCGTGGCATCCGAAGCTTGCCTGAGGCAGGGGGCAGAGTGGCTGCCAACACTGCCCTCCTCCATGGCTACTCCACCCCCACCCTGCAATCTCAGTCTGAGAGCAAGAGAGAGGGCAGACAAACTCTGTGGAGAAGTAACGCTGGCTGCATAAAGGGTCCGGCACTGTTTTCCACCGAGCTGACTGGACCCGAAAGCTTGGGGGTAGGCATCCTTCTAGCTAAGATGCTGTATAAGTGACTGCCTCTGGAAAGCTGGTCTAATGACTCTTGGTTGAATGTCTGGACTGTTTACAAAATGCTGTCTTTTAAGCGGTATGAGGTATAGCTCAGCTGGTTACAGCACCTGGCTGTGGAGCCAAGATCCATCAATCTGAATCCTTGCTATACTTCACAGAAGAGGGACCCACCTGAGATCACCTTAATTGCATGAGGCTGATGGTCTGCCCTGCCCCTCCTGCAGTTTTGCATAAGCAACAGGGTCACAGACCACCACCAGGAGGAGGGGCTGGTAAATCACTTCTGAGAACCCAGAAATCCCTAGCAACAGCCATTTTAAGTATGGACAATCTTGACCTCTGGGCACTAATTAACCCCTACATTAGAAAACTGACCTGATGGCAGAAAAGGATTGCGTGTCATGAACACAATTCACATGCAGAAGCATTACTCTATATTATTCTCACTAAACAAGGAGCCTGACCTTAGATTTACCAATGGACAAAAGATAATGTGGTGGGGTTCTTCAGAGTTGAAATGTTGGGCTTTCCACGTCTTGATTGATGCAGCACATTGGATTTATCATGCAGTACATCAGCCATGCCAGCTACCCAGGCAGTGATCAACAAAAGACAATCTCAAGGCAAAAATTTGGCTTTGGTTATAGAACAGCCCCTCACCTAACTCACAGTAACCAAATAGTTCAAGTCACTTAAGATGAACTAGGCTGGGGATAAGATTATACACAAAAGCCTCAACTTAAAACTGAGTGGAGCAGCGAATTGGTTCCTCTTGCAGTCAACATCGGGATTGCCAAGAAAAACGTCTGCCATAGTTAGGGAATTTTCTTAATTGGTAGTGAACTCTATATACTTGGCTCAATTAGGTATGACTCTGTAGCTTAATGTGGCCTTGCTTCCCCCTCAGGGTATTGCTAAGACAGCTACACCGTTCAAGAGACCAAAAGATTTCATAATTATTATTTTATTGAAAAAATATACATTTATAGAATAAAGTCAATTTGATGCAAAAGCAAAGCATATTACCATTTCCAAGGCTTGTTACAAAATAGAAATGAAGCAATAACTCCCTTTAAATACAACAATTCTAAAAATCCCTAAAAATCTCTAAATGCTTTCCTAGGGTAGGCAAAAGGCAAAAGAACCCCTTCCTTTCTTCCTAGTCTCCCTATATATAATTAAGAAAATTCCCTAACTATGGCAGATGTTTTTCTTGGCAATATATATGACAAATTTTCCCCACATGAAAGGTTTAACAATCTAGGAATAACTGGAAAGCTCAGTGGTTTAGGTATCTGGATGCAGAGCCAGAGGTTGGAAGTCCAATTTCCCCTGTTTTTCCTTCATAGGGACTAGACCCAATGATCTATAACAGTGGTCCCCAATGTTTTTGGGGCCGTGGACTGGTTTGGAGGAGTGAGCTCCATGCGTGTGGGGGGGGTGAGGTCACCTCCGCGCTCGCATGGAGGGCATGTCATGCCTGCGGGGGGCATGACACACCTAGCGCAAGCAGGACATACCCACCGTGAGTGGGGCACCCCCCACGTGAGCATGACATGCCCTCAGCACAAGTGTGACATGCCCACCGTGCGTACGTGCAGGGGGTGGAGATCCGTATCCGCGGCCCAGTTCCGGCAAGCCCACGGACCGGCACTGGGCTGCGGACTGGGGGTTGATGACCCCTGATCTATAGGATCCTTTCCAGCTCTGCAGTTCTAAGATGATGATGATGATTTTTTTTAAATCAAGGAGACTGAAGATGAGGAAGGGAAAGGGAAAGAAGGAAGGCAAAGAGCCTCAGCAGCAGTGAGCAACATTTACCTTCAGGGCGTCTGGTGTGTCCTCCAGGCAGTAGACTTTGAGATTGTATTCCAATGAGGTACAGAGGGTAGGGGCAAAGATAGCCAGCTGGAGTCTCTTGATGGCTAGTCGCGAGTAAGACTCTCCCACCAGGACGTAGGTTCCAAGCTGCTCCAGAAGAATGTGGCAGCACTTGGGCTCCAGCTGGCAGTAGCAGGGAGTGTTCAGCGTCTCCTCGTCCAGAGTGACCACTTCCTGGAGAGCAAGTTGGGGAGAGAGAGCAGAAAGACGAAAAGTGTCTTCCTTTTTGTTAATTTTCAGATGGAATCGAATCACTTTTTAAAAAGTATCCCTCCTCCACACACAGATTAAGATTAGAGATGTACAAAACCATTTGCTTTAAGGAAAACTTAAAAAGGAATACATCACCAATTAAAGAAATGTTTTGTTTTGCTTTACATGGTCGGAACAGGAAGGTTCTGTAACCTGGATAAATTATGCATTGAAGCACATTTATTCGATATTTCTCTGATTTTCCACAATTTATTCTGCAATCAAAAGAAAGCATTTTGAAACCCAGTTTAATCTGCTTCTATTACTCATGATGGGGGGGGAAGCCTCTCAGGTAAATAAATGGAATAATCTTACAGCTTCCAGGCTTTCAAAAGGCATTCCCCCCCCACCCCCCGTGCTTTCAAATATATTTTCAGAACTGTAATGAAAATCTAGGCAGTTGACTCTCTGCATGATGCTACATGGTAGACCAAAGTACTGTGTTGTTTTGTTCTGGACTGAAGGGCAGCATACACAAAGCCCTGGTGAAGGGGCAGTGAGGGAACTGCTGAATGGTTCCATCAGTTAAATAGAAATTTGACCCTGCAGTGCCCTCTGCTGGAAAATATTAACATTACTGCATGTTGCTGCATTATAGGCTTTTCATGGGCTATTCCAGGCCATTCTGCTTCAGAAATGTCTCCTTTCTGTCTCACTCTCACACAAGTGCATATATACATGTGCATGTGCACATACATACATGCACGTATCTATGACATACGTACAAAGACACCATACAAATATGTATATATTCTGAGCCCCATGATCCTAGCCTTATGCCTTAGAACAGCCTTTCCCAACCCTGTGTCCCCAATAGAACACAGTTTACTTGACTGTTGGTCAGGCTGACCGGGACACAAAGCAGCTGTAGTTCAACATCTGGGGAAACGATACAGGGAAAGACTATGAAATGATTAAAAAAAAACCCCACCAAAACCTAGAATCCAGCACTCCAAAACTGAAGACATGCAAGAAGCATTCAGACAGATATACATAGATTCCTGCACTGAGCAAGGGGTTGCCCTCTTCCAACTCCATTATTCTATGATTCTCCCCCCACTGCCAAATCATGCCAACTTGAACATCCAATTTTGAACAATGGAGTTCAGCAATACTGTAAATTGAGCAGATATATGTATCTGTGATACATGAACAAAGGAAATATAGGAAAATACCCATTGACTGTGTAATATCAGATAAATAATCATATGGTTTAAATAAGAAACCTAATGTACTTTATGTTTCTCCACAAACTGAAGCTCCTTACAGGTTTTATCCCACCATCATACTCATCATCACTTCCCCATTTAATTCAACTTACCTCCCAGCTTCCTTGGTGGGACTGAGTTTTCAGTTGCAACATCCAGTCTGGAGAACTGACCTCTGCACAGTGTGGGACGGTCAGGATGACAGGGCGGCACAAGAGCAACCCGGTGGGCCCACAGGTCACCAAGGGGCTCAGGATTGTTTGGGTTCCTTCTGAGGGCAAGCTGGGGAGGACAAAGACAGGAGGGCTGCCTTATCTCTGCTGGGCTGTCATAAAATGGAAGATGGCAGAGAGCAGGAACACAGACTCTGTTCTCTTGGTCTCTTAGAAAATGGATCTCTCTACATTTCTAGTCAGAAACTTTTCTGAAGGGCCATTGCTTTTTTTAAAAAAAATATTATTATTTTTACAACTCCCAGACTCCCTCAACCAACTGGGCACAGTTCTGAATAAGTAAGACCCATCCAAACATGCTGTTCTTGTAATATATAAAACAGCAAAGGTGACATTCAGATCTTTCAACCCTTACCTGATCTTTGTAAAGGAAGGCTTAACATTTATACTAGACGGAAACGCTTCTAACTCCTCCCCCTTCTCTAAGCTCATGCAACCCCAATTCCACTCCCTTTTCCGAAACAGTTCAAGATATTTCGCTATCTGAAGCAAACGCCAAACTGTTCCCCTTTTCAGCAAAAGCAAACACTTTATAGAGTGGTATTGCAGTAATTTAATGCCAGCTTTCCTTCTCACAATGCCAGCCGAAGCTGTGCCCAGTTGCATAGCTGTCTGGTCCTGCCCAAGGTTCAGATCCAGATAGCTTTGTCTAAATTACCCAGTTCTTCATCTTTATAATACAACTAATTCTTACCCCCTTTTAACTAATCTTATTCCCTTTATCTTGTCATGATACTAGATGGTTTAAGATTACTTGTGCAAGGTGTGTAAGATGGAAGTCTTATATGCTGTCAGGTTGGTTCTCACTTATAGCTACTCTAGCATGTTTTCCAAGGATGTGAGCTATCTAAGGCATGGTTTTACCAGTGTCACTTGCCAGTAAGCTTCCATGGCTGAGTGGAGACTTGAAACTAGTCTTGAGTTCCAGTCCAGCACTCTATCCACTATACTATATTAGTGTAAGATGGATATAATAGTCTTATCCTTTTTGCAGAACATGTTCTTATGACTTCATGTTTCTCTGTTGTTGCACCACTGTACCCAAGGGCATTTAAACAACCTGGCTACTATTTAAACACAAACACACACACACACCTTAATGAATCAAAACTTTTGCTGGGCATGCACAATTTCATACTGTACTTCAAGTAGCTCTTTGGATTCCAGTTACTGTTTGGCATTTAGGATAATGCCAACTACAGTGAGAGACACAGCACAATATCTGTTTTACTTACAGAGTGTTTTCTGCTTTGTTGATCATTAGATACATTTCATAGAATTTCCCCTGAGGAATTGCTCCATGTGGTACCAACAGACTCACTCCTACAGGGCAGAAGAAGAGAAATATGATTACAGACTTTGCCAAAATACAAATACTTCACTCTTTAGAAGATGCATCTCTAACCTAAGCAAGAGGAATGGATAGCCTGCAAAAGTGCCAGCACAGCATGTGGCTCTTGCAAGGCTTGGAAAAATTAACTTAATGGATGTCAGCTCCCACAATCCCCCCAGCCAGCATGGCCCACTGGGAGATTCTAGGAATTCCCCTGTTCCAAGCAAGTGATTTCTCCAAGCAGTGGGCTACTGACCAAATCTTGTAAAGCGTTCAGCCTAAGGTCAAAGACTCTCTGTTAGTAATCACGGAAAAACAATTTGTTGTTCTCTCAGAAGTTCAGTGTGCAGGAATGAAAAGAAAAACAATGAGAAGAAAAAACAATTTGTTGTTCTCTCAGAAGCTCAGTGTGCAGGAATGAAAAGAAAAATAATGAGAATGAGAGAGGGAGGGAGGGAGGGAAGGAGAAAATGTGGTATCAGAAACTGCAAGTGAAATGGGTTCTGGCACTATCTACCACTCCTTCGCACCTGCTCTTCTGCAAGCAAACTTGGTCTAAAGTATCCCACTGCTAACCAGATCAGCTATTGGGCTTTCTCTCCTGTAATCCCAAATGGTGGCTATACTCTATACCAGCCTTAGTTGCCCCGTTTACTGCATCCTTTTCTGGATGTGTCCAGAAAGAATAAGTGGTGAAGGTAAGAAAATGCTGGGCTCCAGCATAGAGGACTGGCCCTTTAAGGCTCCTCAGCAAGTAGATGGACCCTGGGAGGGGAAGTCAAGATTACATAAAGTTTCGTTGGATTTTAAAATATGACTGGACCAAATAGTCTGTTTGGAGCTGTCTGTGGTCCTGAAATTCCTCCTTGCCTTGGTAGATCTGGGTCAGCTTCTAAATCCATCCCTTGCAAACCTTCCTCTTGTTCTATGGGTTTATACTTGTCATTAAGATAAGACAACATTCCCTTCATGTTGATACTTACCTGTGCCAGGAATGGTGAGCCTTCCACCCAGGCAGCCGAACGTCCCAGTGGCACTGTTCCCGGGCTCCCGAGGCAGAGTCAGGAGCTGCTGAGAGCCCATGGTCTTGTTTCTTAGATTCATGAAATGGTTATCCCTGAGGTTCTCCCCTGGGAAGGTCCCTGGAGGCATAGCTCCTAGAAGGTCTGCCCCCTCATGTATCCCAGGAGAAGAGGAAGATACTGTGGAGGAGTTGTACACTTTGATCTTGAGATTCGGGAGTGGGTCAAGCAGTGGCGAGTTGGTCATTGGGATCTTGTCAGAGGAGTCCTGCAAGGCATACATGGGGCCACGATACACACCCGCATTGGCTGTGAGGTCAGGCTGCATTGACGGGTGCAGCAACTGGGGTGTGTCTGCAAAAGATAGCAGAAGAAATGCCTCACTAGGTATACAGATTTTCTGTAACAGGAATTAGACTCTGAAAACTGAGTGCATGCTAGTTCAGTTGCAATTGCCTCCATTTTATAATGAGTTGAAACGAAAGTAGCTGGGTAGAACATGAAAACTAAACATCACTGCTGCTGGTAATTACTGTTTACTGTTCTATAAACAGTTAATGTCGAGAGGTGAGATTTTAGCATGCATCTGTTATTAAGCCATATGAATGGGCTGCTGCATATTTAAACACATGTCCTCTAATGTTATGTACTTGTCAAGGTTTAATGCTAATAATGTACTAAAGCGTTTCATAGCCATTTTCAGCCCATTAGGTAACGTTCTAAAATCCCTGATTCACAACATGAGAAAAATATAATAAACATTTATGACACCTGAAAGACTGACAGATTTTTAATAGCATGAGCCTTTTCTCCACCAGATGCATGGAATATTATTTTACTGATGTAGGCTCTAATCTAAAAACTTGATGCTGTGGTAGATGCTGTTATCCTTTAAGGTGCTATGAGACAGTTTTATTGTTTCTGCCATAACAGGCTAATAAAGTTATTCCTCTTGAAATAGTAAGGTAAAAGACAATTTCAAATATTATCTGTCTTTATATATCTGAGGATATTCTAAGTAAAGGTAAGGATTTTTGCTATCAACAGGAAATTGTCTTCATTAGGTGTAGAATTCTGCTAAAGAACACATGCAAAATGTCTTAAAAGGCCATTCTGTCATAAGCCCCCCCTCCAAAACCCACAGAACGCTGACAAAGAATAGAACAAATTTTAGAGAGTTAGTAAAGTCCTGGACTGTACCACATTCAAACTGCAGGCAGAACCTTTCTAAATGAAGAAATCCAGCACATCAGAAACTCTATGTGAATTCTGTCACTCTGCTGTACCACTTTGTTTTTTTTCTTTTTAATGAGGAGAAAACATTTAAAAACCGCACCTGCAATCCAGAGTGTTCAGGGTTCAATGTTCCGTTTCCAAATTTTATATATATATTGTAAAACCGCATTTCACTTTATCATTTCTACTTCATTTAGTCCTATAAATGCTTTGGTTAATACTGTCACTTTGATTAAAAACTGAGGCTGAGAAAGAGTGAATTGGTCAAAGATATCCAGAAAGTCCAGGGACTGGAACCTTCACGGACATTTTGCACTCTATTGAAAGGACCACACCAACATTCAGTTCAAATGTTTGATTCTACCTCTTCATCCCTTCTGTCTCATAGAGTTAAAAAAATGCACAGAAGAGATCCTGAAAAGCAATGGGACGAGAACATAAAAACAAGCCCAAATGGTGGCTTACCATGCCTGGAGGTCTTGAAGTTCACTGGGTGGAAGCCTCCAGTCAGTGCAGCAGAAGAGTCTGTGATGTCAGTGTCGAATTCCCGGCAGCTGCGCCTATACACCACCACCCCAACAGCCATCAGGATAACAATGAAGATAAAGATGGCGACCACCAGGCCAGCATACAAGGCCACATCACCAGTGGCCTCCAGTACTATGGGGGAAGATACAGAGGGAGAGAGATTAAAAAGAGCTGCCATTTTCTGTTTTATTTATTTACATCTATGCTATCATTTAGTCAGTTGCCAAGGAAATACAGATTTATGATTCCACAAGAAGAAATTCAAAACTAAACCACGGTGTGGTCTACCACTTTTTCACAATTTGTTCCTTGAACTTTCTCTTGAGATTTCTGCCAAGGCCATGAAGATATGAAGGGACAGCTAGTTAAATAAGGAATTACAACAGGCGAACATCTATTTAAGCTCCTGAGCACGCCAGCCTTCTGTGGCTGAGATGAGTACGTGGGGAAATCCAAAGCACTCAGAACGCGGGCAGGCAGGTTCCCCACAGACAACCCTAGGCCATTTCATGTTCTTAGCCACACATTACCTATTTGGGCCTTTCAAATTTGGGGTTTTTTCACACCTAGATGCCGGGGCCAGTATTGCCAACTTAAGGCATTACTGGAGTTGCATTTAAAGGCAACTGAACAGATAGAAGTTCCCCTGCCATATATGACTTGGTACCCCGTCAGGTTGGGGAAAAATAAAATCAAAGGCCTTTTCTTTTCAGATGTGGGGCAGGAAGTTGAGGAACAGTGGAAGCAGAACAAAACACCGAAGTAAACATGATTACTTAATGATCAGTGAAGTGCAGTTCTGTTTTTCCATGGCTCTGTTGCAGTTGGTTTGTAAGCCCCACAAAAGAGCACAGGGAATGGTGGCAGAAGCTAGCTTTCTCCTGGATAAAACCAAGTTTTCATTGGCCACTAAAGAAGGAGGAGGCTAGGTTGGAGCAAGAAGGAAAGGTGGGAAAGAAAGCTCAAAAATAAATAAAAAATAAAAAAATGGTGTTCTGTAGAAGCTAGTATGCTGGCCAAGACTTGGGAAATTCATGCTCCAGGTCATTGCTCAGCCATAGGTAGCTCTGGATCAGTAACTCTCTTTTAGTCTGGGTTATCCTTACAGGATTCTTGTTGTACAAAAAAGGAGAAAAACAGATATGCTGCCTTGGCCTTATTAAGACAGGAGCCGGTGTCCTCTAGATGTCCAGGGGTTGCACATATTTATGCCTGGAGCTTAAACTAGACTGTGGGGACCCCGAAACATATGTTTAAATTGCCCCCATGCCCCTTAGAGGGCACAAGGACATGAGGGGTTTTTTTTAAGAGAAAAATTGGAGTGAGACAGGAGTCCTGGAGAGTGTATTTGAATCTAGGGGAGACTTTGCAGCCCATCAGCCGCATTTCATCTACCCCTGTGTAGGGCAGGTGGTGACAGGATGTTAATATAACTAGCTAACTGACTAGAGATGCGTGTGCACAAAGTTATGACTGGTTGCTCATGATGCATGAATCAGGGAGATTCACTGCAGGCAGATCCAGAAGCTGCTACATTAGGAAGATGTGATCACGGAGGGCATGGGAAGGTAGCTGTGAGAAGCAGGCATACAGGAATAGTTCAGTGACGAGGGAAATGAGCACCAGCCTGAAGGTTGTCTGTCCAAGGTCAGCACCTCTTACTATGGTACTCTTAATGCCCATCTGCTTACGCTTTTAAATGAAACTTAACCTTGGAAGGGACACACCAGGAGAGCTGCAGAACCCTCATTAACATTGCCTCTAGGGCTAGCTATTTATATATAAACATACTGTGACTCTTTGGTCTCCCTTGGTGCACAGGAAGAGGACTTACGGTAAAAGCCGCCCACCTTGAACTTGAAACAAATTGGGCATTCATAAGAAAAAAAAAGAGGAATGGTGATTGCTAAATGGCTAAATGCACAGATGTGATAGACAGTCTTTGGAATGAATCAGCCTCTTTTGTAGGTCGGTTGTGGGAGAGAGAAAAATTGCACACACTTGGTCTCATTAGGGAACAAAGCCTCATCAACTTTAGAGCAGCCATGCCAGCAATTTATGTTTGGTGCTTATGAGGCTGAACCATACTTCTCTATGTGTGTTTCTCCCAGCTATGAGAGCATTCACATGTAAAATCTACTTGCTCCGTAACCTTTATTTAGATCAAGAAACTTTGTGGCCCAGGATTCAAGACTTCCAAAGTTCTGCAGAGAGTCCTGCCGAGACAAGAGTCCCATAGAATTGGGCAACAATCTAGACAAAAGGTCACAGAATGAAAATCTCAGTGAAATCAACATGCTGGATTCCTCCTGAATGATGAACAGGTTTTGAATCTCAAGTCTGACTGTGGAAAGAAACCAAAGGGGAACAGCAAAAGTAAGGAGAGGAAAAAATATTAAGGTGTTGAAGTAAAGCCTCAATCTTCATGGGAAACAGGTGGTTCTGATGGGATCTGAAAGGAGCAGTAAAGAAAGAGGATACGCCCTGTGTTCTGGCATGAAGTTCTGGGCATGAGGAGAATTCAGAGAGAGAGTCGCCAAGCTAATTTAAAAGAGCAATAAGATGCAAAGCTTTTTTTTTTTTAAATCACAGTGTGGGTGGAGTGACGTTTATTTTGTCATCCTTGTTATTGCTTTGTTGATTTTTCAATATGCATTGATGAATAAAAAGCCTTGTGCACAGAATATTTCTGATGAAGAATCATCCACGGCCTTTTATGCTGCATTCCCACATAGCACATCCGACCATGTTTTATCTCCAGCCAGTAGTTACAAGAAAGGGGAGTGGAGTGTATGATATACACAGTCTCTGTTTTCTGGATGACAGCAAAACCATTACTGTTCCACCTATATTAAATACCAATGGGTGGAAAATGACCAACAATTTATTACTAGGTGAGAGGAGGAAAGTGAGGAGGAAAAGCAATGCTCTTCCTGAGGCAAAAATGACAACAAAAAAGAGTATCTCTATCTTCTCCGCCCCGCCCCCCCCCTAATATAGATGCAGGGAAGCTCTAATTTCAACAGCTGCTCCAACGACTACATCAGTAATTGAGTGGGTTTTGCCTCTGCTGCACAAAGCAAACCTGCATGTCTTCACAAACTTCATCAGACCTGGCAATGGGCTCCTTGCTAAACCTGCAGAGAGATCACCTTCTCCAAGAAAAAGTAGTTTTAACACGAAGGAGAAGCAGCAAACCAAACCAAGGTGAACGAAAGCAAGATTTTGAATGCATATAAAACAATGAAAGAAAATGGTCATGAAATGGAAGACTTACGGTGACTTTTGGGTTCGTTTACAAATCTTTTATCTGTGAGGGAAAACAAAGTGGGAGAAAAACAAAGGTTGAAAAAAAATGAGGATGGTAACCATGATGACGATGATGATAATAAAAGAAAACAGAAGCACAGACTTGCTGCCCAGGCAAAGAGTGCAGTGAAAATGTAAACATGATGGAACAATTCATTCAGAAGACATGCATGCTGTGTTTCAGAGGCTCACAGAATCACTCTACAATCTACATTTCTCAAACATCTGCCCACAGTATCAGCATGTGAAATGTTCTAGGGATACCATTATGTTGCCTGGGATACTGTGCTCATGTACATATGAACACAATGTACAGGATCAGGTTGGCCTTGCATCCTGCTTTACAGCTCTGCTTGAAAGATGGTCACATAAAGGAATTCTATACATGAAGAGCTACCCAGTCTAAATACGGCATGCCTGTTGAGACTACACAACCAGCAAACCACCATTTACAGGCCACATGTGGCAGCCTATCAGAGAGGCTTTTCCTGCCTGGCCAAAACTGAAAAGGAAGACAAGGACCATTTCCCGCACTGGCAGACCATAATATGTGGACCCTGGGATGCATTTCACCTTGGAAAGTACCAAGCATGACTTTCATGGCAGCATGGCAAATCTAAGGGCAATTGGTGTTTATGTGGAATTTGAACAATGTGCTGTGGTTAACTGCTGAGATGCTAGGGCATAACTGAGCATACACACAAGGAAGATACACTTTGACATCTCATTGATTTACTGCAATTACCCAAAGCAAGCAACACAAAACCTTGTGCAAACACTAATAGGATTCTGGCCCGTGTTTTTTTCCCCTTTTAACTCAGTAGGTGGCATTTTTTACTATGAGCTGTGGTCCTTCATAGGACTGCTGTCTAACTTCAAGGTCATCCATCCCCCCTGAGCTCAATAG